CATACTCATCTTTACCTTAACTTGCGGTGGTCAATCAAAAATAAAAAATAAAATTAACGAAAAAGTAGAAAAGGGCCTCATAGCCTGGTGGATAGCGCGCAGGACTCGTAATTCTGAGGCGCGGGTTCGATTCCCGCACGAGGCAGAAACAAATGGGCAAAGTTTCTTTCACCCTGAATGCCCCTGTTACCTAGCAGTAAATAGGTACCTGGGTGTTAGTCAGCTGTCACGGGCTGCTTCCTGGGGGTGGAGGCCTGGTCGAGGACCGGGCCGCGGGGACACTAAAGCAACCGAAATCATCTCAAGATAACCTCAAGAATATTTTTTTCCTTAAATGTTTCCCAATCTTAATTAAATAAAACAGCAGATGACCACGCCAAAAAAAATATCTGTTATATAACACATGTACAACAGCTGTTTATTTAGCAGTTCCATCAAAGGCAAGTGATTCTGTCAGAGGATCTTTCAAACTTGAAAAAAAAACTGGGGCTCGATTCACGAAGCAGTTACGCAAGCACTTACGAACCTGTACTTCCTTTCTCAATCTTTCGCGCCTTTGTTTACAATTATTAAACAGTTAAAGAGCTCCGAAGCACCAGGAAGCTGTTTATAACAATAACAACAGTTGATTGGGAAGTTTTCCCTGCTTGTAAACTGTTTAATAAATTTAACCAAAGCCGTCAAAGATTGAGGAAAGATGTATACGTTCATATGTACTTGCGTAACTGCTTCGTGAATCTGGCAGTTTCCTGGAGAGTCTTTACGCCTATTGGATTAATTCAATCTTTAATTAACTATCACTATTATAATCGAGTAATCAGAAGGCCCGATATGGTGACATTTCTAGGTTTTGGTAATCTTATCAATTTATTTTAAAATTGAAAATAATTTGTTGCTCGTTTTGTCTTTTTAATCTATACATAATTTGCTGTTGCTAAGCTATTCATATTATTTCTTGATATTTTGTTTTTTTAGGCTTTTCTTGTATTTCTTAGAAAATTTCAGTAATTCCTGGGATGTAATATTACTATGTCAGTGTGCGTGGTGTACTCACCTATTTGTGCTTCCGGGGGTTGAGCTTTGGCTCTTTGGTCCCCCCTCTCAACTGTCAATCAACTGGTGTACAGATTCATGAGCCTACTGGGCTCTATCATATCTACATTTGAAACTGTGAATGGAGTCAGCCTCCATCACATTACTGCCTAATGAATTCCATCCGTTAACTACTCTGACACTGGAAAAGTTCCTTCTAACGTCCCTGTGGCTCATGTGGGTACTCAGTTTCCACCTGTGTTCCCTTGTTCGCGTACCATCAGTGTTGAATAATTTATCCTTGCTTACCCGGTCGATTCCCCTGAGGATTTTGTAGGTTGTGATCATGTCGCCCCTTATTCTTCTGTCTTCTAGTGTCGTAAGGTGCATATCCCGCAGCCTTTCCTCGTAACTCATGCCTCTTAGTTCTGGGACTAGTCTAGTGGCATACCTTTGGACTTTTTCCAGCTTCGTCTTGTGCTTGACAAGGTACGGGCTCCATGCTGGGCCGCATACTCCAGGATTCGTCTTACATATGTGGTGTACAAGATTCTGAATGATTCCTTACACAGGTTCCTGAACGCTGTTCTGATGTTAGCCAGCCTCGCATATGCCGCAGACGTTATTCTTTTTATGTGGGCTTCAGGAGACAGGTTTGGTGTGATATCAACTCCTAGATCTTTCTCTCTGTCTGTTTCATTAAGTACTTCATCTCCTATTCTTTATCCTGTGTCTGGCCTCCTGTTTCCACTGCCTAGTTACATTACATTGCATTTACTCGGGTTGAACTTCAACAGTCATTTGTTGGACCATTCACTCAGTCTATCCAGGTCATCTTGTAGCCTCCTACTATCGTCGTCAGTTTCAATCCTCCTCATAATTTTTGCATCATCAGCAAACATTGAGAGAAACGAGTCTATACACTCTGGGAGATCATTTACATATATCAGAAACCGTACAGTTCCAAGGACTGACCCCTGCGGGACTCCATTCGTAACGTCTCGCCAATCTGAGACCTCACCCCTCACAGTGACTCGTTGTCTCCTATTGCTTAGGTACTCCTTTATCCAATGGAGTACCTTCCCTATCACTCCAGCCTGCATCTCCAGCTTTTTCACTAGCCTCTTGAGTGGTACTGTATAAAAGGTTTTCTGACAATCCAAAAATATGCAGTCTGCCCACCCTTCTCTTTCTTGCCTTATTTTTGTTGCCTGGTCATAGAATTCAAGTAATCGTGTGAGGCAGGACCTGCCATCCCTGAACCCATGTTGATGCTGTGTTACAAAGTTCTTTCGCTCCAGATGTTCCACTAGCTTTCTTTGCACAATCTTCTCCATCAGCTTGCATGGTATGCAGGTTAGAGACACTGGCCTGTAGTTCAGTGCCTCTTGTCTATCCTCTTTCTTGTATATCGGTACTACGGTAGCTGCTTTCCAAATTTCTGGCAGTTCCCCTGTTGCTAGTGATTTGTTATACACTATGGAGAGTGGTAGGCACAGTTCTTCTGCTACATTCTTTAGTATCCAAGGGGAGATTCCTTCTGGACCTATTGCTTTTGTCACATCCAACTCTAGTAAACACTTCCTCACTTCCCCGCTGGTAATCTCAATCTCTTCCAGTGGTTCCTGGTTAGCTATTCCCTCTCTTATCTCTGGAATTTCTTCTTGCTCTAAGGTGAAGACCTCGTGGAATTTCTTATTCAGTTCCTCACACACTTCCTTGTCATTTGTAGTGAATCCTTCTGCCCCTATCCTTAATTTCATAGCCTGTTCCTTTACTGTTGTTTTTCTCCTGATGTGGCTATGCAGCAATTTAGGCTGAATCTTCGCCTTGCTTGTGATGTCACTTTCGTATTGTCTTTCTGCTACTCTTCTCATCCTGACATATTCATTCCTGGCATTCTGGTATCTTTCTCTGCTCTCCTGTGTCCTGTTAATCCTATAGTTTCTCCATGCCCTTTTACTTTGCTGCTTAGCTACCCTACATCTCTGATTAAACCATGTGTTTCTCATCTTCATTTCACTGTTTTCCTTTTAGACTTGGACAAACTTGTTTGCTGCGTCCTTGCACTTCTGCGTGATGTAGTCCATCATGTCTTGGGCCGTCTTTCCCCTGAGCTCTGTTTCCCATGCTATATCTGTTAGGAATTTTCTTATCTCCTCATAGTTTCCCTTTCGGTATTCTAACCTTTTGGTTTCGGTATCCCTCCTCGAGTTCAATAATCCTTCTTCAATCAGGTACTCAAACACCAATACACTGTGGTCGCTCATTCCTACTGGGTCCTCAAAACCGATTTCTCTTATGTCGGAGTCGTTCAGAGTGAAGACTAGGTCGAGTCTCGCTGGTTCGTCATTTCCTCTCATCCATGTGGGTTCTCTGACATGCTGGGTTAAAAAGTTTCTAGTCACCACCTCCAATAGTTTGGCTCTCCACGTATCCTCGCCTCCATGCGGTTCCTTGGTGTGTGTGTGTATGTATGCGTGTGTGTGTGCGTGTGCGAGCAAGAAAGAGAGAACTAGAGAGAGAGAGAGAGAGAGAGAGAGAGAGAGAGAGAGAGAGAGAGAGAGAGAGAGAGAGAGAGAGAGAGAGAGAGAGAGAGAGAGAGAGAGAGAGAGAGAGAGAGAGAGAGAGAGAGAGAGAGAGAGAGAGAGAGAGAGAGAGAGAGAGAGAGAGAGAGAGAGAGAGAGAGAGAGAGAGAGAGAGAGAGAGAGAGAAGAGAGAGAGAGAGAGAGAGAGAGAGAGAGAGAGAGAGAGAGAGAGAGAGAGAGAGAGAGAGAGAGAGAGAGAGAGAGAGAGAGAGAGAGAGAGAGAGAGAGAGAGAGAGAGAGAGAGAGAGAGAGAGACAGACAGACAGACAGACAGAGAGAGACAGACAGACAGACAGACAGACAGACAGACAGACAGACAGACAGACAGACAGACAGACAGAGACAGAAAGACAAACAGAGAGACAGAGTGAGACAGACACACAGACCAATATAGATTTACACCCACACTCGGAGACATAGAAAGTGATACCAAACGCCAAAGAAATTGATATGGAAAAAACGGGAAAAACAGCGAGCAATACAAAGAGTGAGAAAAAATACAGACCCGGTGACCGACTGGATCGTAAAGTATGATCATAACTCTCTATGTTTCCAGCCAAATGGAATATAACTCAAAATAAACTGGAACAATTTAGGTATTTTGGAATAAACATTGTACAGAAATAGCCTCCAAATTAGAAAACAAACTTTGTTACTTCACAATGTTCCCCAGGCAAGAAAAACGTTTTCGGCCACAGAAAGGTAACTGGGAAAACTATTGGACTGGGAAAGCTATTGGTCTGGGAAAACTATTGAACTGGAAAAGCTATTAGACTGGAAAAGCTATTAGACTGGGAAACTATTATACTGGAAAAGCTATTGGACTGGGAAACTATTATACTGGAAAAGCTATTGGAATGGGAAAACTAATGGACTGGAAAAGCTATTAGACTGGAAAACTCTTAGACTGGAAAAGCTATTTGACTAGAAAAACCATTGAACAGAAAAAACTATTAACTATTAAACTGAAAAAAAACTATTGAACTGTTAAAACTACTGAACCGACAAAATATTTAACTGAGAGAAATAATGAACTGAAAAATAATTAAAATAAACTGTTGAAGTGGTAAACCCATTTGATTGGAAAAACAATTGAAGTGAAAAAAAATTGAAGTAAAAAAAAACATTGAACTGGAAAAACTCCAAAGAACAGGAACACTTACTGAACAGCAAAAACATCTGAACAACAAAATCTACTTTAGTAGAAAACCTTTAAAAGAAACTTTTAAAATAATAAATTCGATTTATACATATTCAGGCAAAGAATTGTTTAGTTAAACATTCTGACCTGAAAAAGGCATCTTCTATAATAATCCAATATCTTGAAAAGAATCAAGATGGTAGTAAAACACACTAAACTATTTCTAATGCCATGGTTCCATGAACAATGATCAAATGTTGGAGTGTCAGACAGTGCTGGAGGCCAGGAGACAGTGCTGGGGGCCAGGAGATAGTGCTGGAGGCCAGGAGACAGTGCTGGAGGCCAGGAGACAGTGCTGGGGGCCAGGAGACAGGGCTGGAGGCCAGGAGATAGTGCTGGAGGCCAGGAGACAGTGCTGGAAGCCAGGAGACAGTGCTGGAGGCCAGGAGACAGTGCTGGAGGCCAGGAGACAGTGCTGGAGGCCAGGAGACAGTGCTGGAGGCCAGGAGATAGTGCTGGAGGCCAGGAGACAGTGCTGGAGGCCAGGAGACAGTGCTGGAGGCCAGGAGGCAGTGCTGGAGGCCAGGAGACAGTGCTGGAGGCCAGGAGACAGTGCTGGAGGCCAGGAGATAGTGCTGGAGGCCAGGAGACAGGGCTGGTGGCCCGGAAGCAGTGCTGGAGGCCAGAAGACAGTGCTGGAGGCCAGGAGACAGGGCTGGAGACTAGGAGACAGTGCTGGGGGCCAGGAGACAGTGCTGGAGGCCAGGAGACAGTGCTGGACGCCAGGAGACAGGGCTGGAGGCCAGGAGACAGTGCTGGAGGCCAGAAGACAGTGCTGGAGGCCAGGAGACAGTGCTGGAGGCCAGGAGACAGTGCTGGAGGCCAGGAGACAGGGCTGGAGACTAGGAGACAGTGCTGGGGGCCAGGAGACAGTGCTGGAGGCCAGGAGACAGTGCTGGACGCCAGGAGACAGCGCTGGAAGCTAGGAGACAGTGCTGGGGGCCAGGAGACAGTGCTGGAGGCCAGGAGACAGTGCTGGACGCCAGGAGACAGGGCTGGAGGCCAGGAGACAGTGCTGGAGGCCAGAAGACAGTGCTGGGGGCCAGGAGACAGTGCTGAAGGCCAGGAGACAGTGCTGGAGACCAGGAGACAGTGCTGGAGGCCAGGGGACAGTGGTGGAGGCCAGGAGACAGTGCTGTAGGCCAGGAGACAATGCTGGAGGCCAGGAGACAATGCTGGAGGCCAGGAGACAGTGCTGGAGGCAAGAAGTTAGTACTGGAGTGCAGGAGACAGTCCTGGAGGCCAGGAGACAGTCCTGGAGGCCAGGAGACAGTGGTGGAGACCAGGAGACAATGCGGGAGGCCGGGGAGACAGTCCTGGAGGCTATGAGACAGTGCTGGAGGCCAGGAGACAGGGCTGGAGGCCAGGAGATAAGGCTGGAGGCCAGAAGACAGTGCTGGAGGCCATGAGACAGTGCTGGAGGCCAGGAGACAGTACTGGAGGCCAGGAGACAGTACTGGAGTCCAGGAGACAGTGCTGGAGGCCAGAAGACAGTGTTGGAGGCCATGAGACAGTACTGGAAGCCAAGGGACAGTGCTGGAGACTAGGAGACAGTACTGGAGGCCAGGAGACAGTACTGGAGGCCAGGAGACAGTACTGGAGGCCAGGAGACAGTACTGGAGGCCAGGAGACAATACTGGAGGCCAGGAGACAGTACTGGAGGCCAGGAGACAGTGCTGGAGGCCAGGAGACAGTACTGGAGGCCAGGAGACAGTACTGGAGGCCAGGAGACAATACTGGAGGCCAGGAGACATTACTGGAGGTCAGGAGACAGTACTGGAGGCCAGGAGACAATACTGGAGGCCAGGAGACAGGGTGAGAAGAGAAGCAGCAACTCCAAGGCTGCCAGTGTACTGTGCATGAAATATGTATAACGTAAGATAATGTACAATGGGACACGGGACCACCGGGCCACTTCCTTGCCACACTTCACCACAGTCACGACAACTCACTGTGCCTCCCCTCCCTCCCCCCACACACGACGGGGTCTCGCGGACGAGTAGTCGACGTCCGGGATTCACAATCCAGGGACCCTGAGCTCTATTGCCGGCCGGGACAAATATTTAGGTCGAATTCTTCAACTTGATGACTCTGTTCATATAGGAGTAAATAGGTATCCGGGGAGGTAGAGAGCTGTTGCGGGCTATGCCGGGTGGGAATGTGTGTTTACTAGTTGTGTTTTTGCGGGGGTTGAGCTCTGCTCTTTCGGCCCGCCTCTCAACTGTCAATCAACTGTTTACTAACTACTTTTTTTTTTTTTTTTTTTTTTTTTCCTCTCCACACCGCACACACACACACCCCAGGAAGCAGCCCGTGACAGCTGACTAACTCCCAGGTACCTATTTACTGCTAGGTAACAGGGGCATTCAGGGTGAAAGAAACTTTGCCCATTTGTTTCTGCCTCGTGCGGGAATCGAACCCGCGCTACAGAATTACGAGTCCTGCGCGCTATCCACCAGGCTACGAGGCCCCGTAGTGTGTGTGTGTGTGTGTGTGTGTGTGTGTGTGTGTGTGTGTGTGTGTGTGTGTGTGTGTGTGTGTGTGTGTGTGTGTGTGTGTGTGTGTGTGAAATACAGGAGACAAAGGACGGTTCAAAAGGCGGGGTCCCAAAGCTAACACCTCGATCCAGGTGGCACAAATAGGTGATTACACTCATAAACACTCACCCCCTTTTCCTTCTCCCTCCCTCCCTCCCTCCCTTCCCTACCACCCTTCCCTCCCTCCCTCCCTCCCTCCCTCCCTCCCTCCCTCCCTCCCCCTCCCTTCCTCCCTCCCTCTCTCCCTCCCTCCCTCTCTCCCTCCCTCCCTTCCCTACTCCCTTCCCTCCCTCCCCTACCAGTCTTCCCTCCTGCCCTTGCTCTTATCAAACGCCACATGGGCCAAGAAGATACGAATCTAATTATGAATGATTAGTCCCCGACGGCCCCCAGAGTGGCCGCTACAGGAGCCTCGGGTCCTCCAGCGCCTCTAAACGTCTTCCCGGCACCAGCCTGATAACACCCTCAATTACTGCTTAAAAAAATTATATGAGGGAATATTTAGTTGTAATGTGAATGATAGAATAGAGGGGAAGGTAGGAGGGGTCACTCGGGGAATTAGTGTGGTTGTGATGACTGTTGAGAGAAAGAGAGAGACAGACAGAGCCAGAGAGCGAGACAAAGGGACAGAGAGAGACAGAGACACAGATGCAGAGATAGACAGAGACACAGATGCAGAGATAGACAGAGACACAGATGCAGAGATAGACAGAGACACAGATGCAGAGAGAGACAGGAGAGAGGAGACAGGAGAGAGAGAGAGAGAGAGAGAGAGAGAGAGAGAGAGAGAGAGAGAGAGAGAGAGAGAGAGAGAGAGAGAGAGAGAGAGAGAGAGAGAGAGAGAGAGAGAGAGAGAGAGAGAGAGAGAGAGAGAGAGAGAGAGAGAGAGAGAGAGAGAGAGAGAGAGAGAGAGAGAGAGAGAGAGAGAGAGAGAGAGAGAGAGAGAGAGAACAGACAGAATAAAAAGACAGGTTCAAAGTGGTGAAGAGAGACGAATTCGGAATGAAAAGGGCAAAGAAAAGAAAATAATAATGTCGCTCTATTGTTTATTATATTTGTATTGTTATTATTAGATATTTCCTGTAAAATGTCCATTTAAAGTTTTGTGGGATTTTTGCTTCTGATTCTTTGGTGTGTTTTAATGACCGCGAGATACGGCAAGACTGTCCCTTTTACTGCGTGCGTGTGCGTGCGTGTGCGCGCGTGTGTGTGTGTTACCTGGTTGATGGGGTTCTGGGAGTTCTTCTACTCACCAAGCCCGGCATGGGGCCAGACTTGACTAGTGAGAGTTTGGCCCACCAGGCTGTTGCTTGGAGCTGCCCGCAGGCCCACATACCTACCACAGCCCGGTTGGTCCGGCACTCCTTGAAGGAAACAATCTAGTTTCCTCTTGAAGATATCCACGGTTGTTCCTGTAATATTTCTGATGCTCGCTGGTGGGACGTTGAACAACCGTGGACCTCTGATGATCATACAGTGTTCTCTGATTGTGCCTATGGAACCTCTGCTCTTCACTGGTTCTCTTCTGCATTTTCTTCCATGTCGTTCACTCCAGTACGTTGTTATTTTACTACGCAGATTTGGGACCTGTCCCTCCAGTATTTTCCATGTGTATATTATTTGGTATCTCTCTCGTCTTCTTTCTAGTGAGTACATTTGGAGAGCTTTGAGACGATCCCAATAATTTAGGGGGCTTAATCTCGTCTATGCGTGCCGTATATGTTCTCTGTATTCCCTCAATTTCAGCAATCTCTCCTGCTCTGAAGGGTGAAAGTGAGTACAGAGCAGTACTCAAGACGGGACAACACAAGTGATTTGAAGAGTACAACCAATGTGATGGGATCTCTGGACTTGAAGGTTCTCGTAATCCATCCTATAATTTTTCTGGCTGACGCAATACTTGCTTGGTTATGCTCCCTAAACGTTAGGTCGTCGGTCATCATTATTCCCAAACCCTGGACATGCTGTTTTCCTACTATGGGCAGATTCGATTGTGTTTTCTACCCTGTATTATGTTTAAGATCCTCATTTTTGCCGTATCTGAGTACCTGGAATTTATCACCGTTAAACATCATGTTATTTTCTGCTGCCCAATCGAAAACTTTGTTAATATCTGTTTGTAGTTTATCAATGTCTTCAGCAGAGGTAATTTTCATGCTGATTTTTGTATCATCTGCAAAGGATGACACGAAGCTGTGACTTGTGTTTTTGTCTATATCTGATATGAGAATAAGGAACAGCAGCGGTGCAAGGACTGTACCTTGAGGTACTGAGCTTTTAACTGCGCTCGGATTCGATTTTACCTGATTGATTGTTACTCTTTGTGTTCTGTTCGACAGGAAATTGAGTATCCAGCGTCATACTTTACCAGTTATACCCATTGACCTCATTTTGTGTGCAATCACTCCATGGTCACATTTGTAGAATGCCTTTGCAAAATCTTTGTATACGACATCCGCGTTATGTTTTTCCTCTAATGCCTCAGTGATTTTGTCATAGTGGTCAAGTAGCTGTGAGAGGCATGATCATCCTACTCTAAATCCATGTTGGCCTGGATTGTGGAGGTCATTGGTTTCCATGAATCTAGTGACCGGACTCCTGATCACTCTTTCAAATGCTTTTATTATGTAGGACGTTAGTGCAACTGGTCTATAATTCTTTGCCAATGCTTTGCTACCACCCTTGTATAGAGGGGCAATGTCTGCTGCTTTAAGCGTATCTGGTATCTCCCCTGTGTCCAAGCTCTTCCTCCACACTATACTGAGTGCCTGTGCTACTGGCACTTTGCATTTCTTTATAAATATTGAATTCCATGAGTCTGGACCCGGGGCTGAGTGCATGGGCATACTGTCAATTTCTCTTTCAAAATCTGCCACGCTCGTGTTGATATCAGTTATATTTACAGGTGTTTGAGTATCATTCATAAAGAAATTGTCCGAATCTTCCACTTTCATGCTGAGTATCGGATTGCTAAACATGTCTTCATACTGCTTTTTTAGGATTTCACTAATTTCTTTGTCATCCTCAGTGTATGAACCTTCACTAATACGAATAGGTCCAATACTGGCAGTGGTTTTCGCTTTTGATTTAGCATATGTGAAGAAATATATATATTTTTTTATTTCTTGAATTGCTTTCTGTTCTAGTTGCCTTTCTTCAGTCTAATAGGAATGCTTCAGTCTCTGTTCGATTTCTTCGTGTGTGTGTTTGGGCTCTTTGGTCCCGCCTCTCAACCGTCAATCAACAGGTGTACAGGTTCCTGAGCCTATTGGGCTATATCATATCTACACTTAAAGCTGTGTATGGAGTCAGCCAACATCACTTCATAATGCATGTGAGAGTTTTATTTGAGAATTTGTGGAATAAATTGAAATTGGTATAAGGAATTT